TGCCTTGGCAGCCCTTGCCCTGCCAGCCCCGCCAGCCCTTGTCTTGGCAGCCATTGCCCATGCCCTTCAGCAGCCGAAACAAGGGAAGGCCAACAAGGTGCTTGAAGGCACGTCGCGAGTCCAGAAGAGAACACTTGAACTCATGGTCGGCGCAGGGCCCGCTGTGCACTTCGCCCTTCTTGGCATAGCATATGCCGCAAAGGTCGTAGTCTGCACAGCTCTTGCACTTGAACCGCGGACCAACCACTGGCGAGTGGCAGCCGTCACACATCACGCCCCTGTGCTCCAGAGCGATGTCCAAGCCATCCAGGCAGGATGCCAGGCGCTCTTGTTGGGTCTCGGCAAGGGCCGACACGAAGGAGTGTTGCGCTTCGAAGTGCAGCAGGTCAACACCGGCAAGCAAGTCCAGCAGGAACCTTCCTGCCGAGGCAGGCGCCATCTCTGACAGGCAGGCATCCAGGGATGCTTCTACATGCTGCAAGCCATGCGGCGCCAGCAAGGCCCGAATCTGCTCCAAGATCTCCTTGAGCGGCTCAATGGAAGTCAGGGCTCGCCCCAGCTCCTCCGGCTCCCGCTCTGCCACAAACTGCAGCGCGCCAGGCAGCCAGCACACCGCCATGCTCGCCAGCGCCTGCGGCGTCAGCACCTCCGAGATCTTGGGACGTGCAAAAGGCTCGCCAGTCTCACCGTCCTCCATGCGCGAATGCTTGCTGCGGCGCTCACAGTGAGGGCCATGCCCTTGGCCGGCGGAGCAGGAGTGACAGCAGTGGGTGGGGTGCCAGGTTGCGAGGTACGAACAGCCCTGGCTGGCACAGGTCGTGCCCTTGGCCGTGTTGGCGCTCTGGCCGCGCCAATCAGGGCACTCGGATTCATGGTCCTGCCAGTTGCGCTGCCAGCCACGCCAACCCTTGCCTTGGCAGCCCTTGCCCTGCCAGCCCCGCCAGCCCTTGTCTTGGCAGCCATTGCCCATGCCCTTCAGCAGCCGAAACAAGGGAAGGCCAACAAGGTGCTTGAAGGCACGTCGCGAGTCCAAAAGAGAACACTTGAACTCATGGTCGGCGCAGGGCCCGCTGTGCACTTCGCCCTTCTTGGCATAGCATATGCCGCAAAGGTCGTAGTCTGCACAGCTCTTGCACTTGAACCGCGGACCAACCACTGGCGAGTGGCAGCCGTCACACATCACGCCCCTGTGCTCCAGAGAGATGTCCAAGCCATCCAGGCAGGATGCCAGGCGCTCTTGTTGGGTCTCGGCAAGGGCCGACACGAAGGAGTGTCGCGCTTCGAAGTGCAGCAGGTCAACACCGGCAAGCAAGTCCAGCAGGAACCTCCCTGCCGAGGCAGGCGCCATCTCTGACAGGCAGGCATCCAGGGATGCTTCTACATGCTGCAAGCCATGCGGCGCCAGCAAGGGCCGAATCTGCTCCAAGATCTCCTTGAGCGGCTCAATGGAAGTCAGGGCTCGCCCCAGCTCCTCCGGCTCCCGCTCTGCCACAAACTGCAGCGCGCCAGGCAGCCAGCACACCGCCATGCTCGCCAGCGCCTGCGGCGTCAGCACCTCCGAGATCTTGGGACGTGCAAAAGGCTCGCCAGTCTCACCATCCTCGCCACATCCGCACCTGTCCTGGCCGCGCTTGCCCTTGCCCTTGCCCTGCTGCTTGTGGTGCAGCCCTTGCAGGAGGGGATGCAGGAAGGGCGGCACGAACATGCTCCAGGATTCTGCTGCTTCACTCTCAGGCTGCGGTGGCATCTCTCTGTTTTCTGTGCCTGCGGGCAACAACTCCAGGCGCAGAGTCAACCGCCCAGCACTGACAGAGAGGTCTGCAGCCTGCTTCGCCTGAGCAAGGAAGTCCGCGAAGGAGCTCTCGCAGAGCACGCAAGCATCTCCTTCATCATCCAGGTACCTCGCCGCGTAGGCCCCCAGATCTGGGAAGAGGCGCTCCAAGCAGCTGCAAACCCCGGGATAGCTCAGGTCATCCAGCAGGCACCGGCGGATTTCGGAACCCAAAGTGGCCTTCAGCACAGTCATGCCGCGAATAGAAACGAGTCTAACTTTGAATTTCTGTGAGTCAGGACAACGCCTTGTTCACTTGGCTTGAGCCAAGGTAGTTGCCGGTCTGCCATCCCCCCACATCCTCCCAGTGCCGGTTGTAGCCCCAAGCTCAACTCGAGGTCGAATGTGAGTAACTGTCACCGGGTCCCATCCGAACGTCCACCCAGCGACTTCCGGCCCGCATGTCTCTCCTGGCTGCCCTCGGCACCGATGAGGTAGCACTTGGCCCGGACCCGGGTGCGGATCAGAGCCAAGGAGGGCAAATCTTGGACCTTGGCCCAGGACAAAAAAGATCACGGGCGGGGTCGAATGATTGTGCCAAAACCTCCAGGTAGACCGCATGAGATCATCAGACTTTCGTGGAGTTTCTCTCTATCCTTAGTAAAACGAAGAAAGGGATTCAATTTGCTTCAACCATGGTCACAGATTTGTCCAGCACTAAATCTTGGATCCCCGAAAAACAAAGAGGTCGAACAAATGACTGCGCTGACTGTTTTGCGCGAGACGGTGCGGTCCTACGACATGCTAATGTCAACGAACTTGCGCGGCTTTGGCGCAGAGCTGGAGGTGACGACGAGCGTTCAAAGCCCACAAGGCGCGTCAAATCAGTCAGGTTGACATGAGAAGACAAAGCAACATTTGAACACAGAGCAGTCTCAAAATACTTGCAACACAGAATGAAAAGCCGGAATATACATTTTTCATCACACAATGTGTTGGCTTTGGTCAAAGCGGCCATAAAAGGCTGCCATCCGGCTGCTTGTCATGCTCAGCCATTTTGGCTTGCGGCTTGGGAAGATGCTTTGATGGCGTGCCATCCAATTTACTCCTTGTGAGTGGCCCTATGATTGACTCGATGTGCCTCAACGTGGCATAACAGGTCTGTTGCAACCAAACCGTGCAATCTTGCAGTTTCTTCCCTGGAACCCACTGTGGAAAGTGGAACCATCATCGATCTCCGCTTGGAGGCAGTCTGGCCATTGAAAAAACACAAACACAGGCGGCCTGGCAGTTTCTGTCACCCCAAAAATAACAAACATCTAAAAAACATACACAAAGTACCCATGCCAGTTCAAAACGCTTTCCAGAATATGAACTGGGGCTGGGCCAGCCGCACTGAGGCACAAGTCACTGTTGCCTGGCCTTTCATCCACGCATTGGTCTTGAATCAAAGGCTCTACTTTCACAGGCACAAGGGTAGAATGAATATGCATATTATAGTTGACAGACTCCGCCAAAATACGAACCGCAAACGCCTCTCGATCAGACCTTGCGACGATTCCTTCAGGTGGGCCTTTGGCTGCTGCGCAGCGGTTTGGAGAAGCTCTCAGTGGCCGGCCAGGTCAATTGGCGCGCCTGAAAGCTGACGGCTTCCAGGTTCTCGAATTTGGGTCAGAAATGGCCACGGGTCAAAATCCAAATCGTACCCCCGGTGAACATCCGATTCAATCCAACCACTAAAATAGGTTCTAAAATGGGTGGTGAATTCACCTACCCCAACATGGTACCATCGGTTTTGACCCAAAGCTAAATCAGTGAGGGAAGCCCACCTCCCCAGTGTTTGGGTTGAAACCATGAGAGAGAACTGGCCCAAGTCAATCCGTCCATTCCGCGAAGACCCAGGATCTTGAAAGGGGCTCGCCAAAGAAAAACGCGTCTCTCGTTCGAAAGCCAGAGCGACACGTCCTGGAGAAATCGCACAAGCATCGCCAAAAATATGACCACCATCCTACTGGACTTCCTGAATCCACGTTCTGTGACCCAACTGTATCAGCTAGTGATCATGCGCTGGAACCGGACAATGGCATTTCAAGAACCCTCCAACATATATTTGAGCATATCCCCAACCCTCCTACCAAGGATTGTGTTCTTCGAGGTTCTGGGGTTGATCGAAAGGCATGTTGGAGGGTTCGTGGAGTTTGCAAACAACAACTGACCTGATGTTAACACTGTCTCGTAAGGAGCACCCAAAAATGAAAAAGTTTCGCAAAGTACCCCCCGACTTTTACAGGAGGACCCACGGTGTCTCAAAGAAAAACTCCTGATCTTGAGAAGGCGTTCTTCATTGCCGATGCAAGGGAAAATATCTGGAACAGCCGCACGACAAAAAGTGTGTTCCTTAGATCATCAGAAGCCTCATGTGACTCATTAAAGTGACTGGCAGATGTGCGATCGCTCAAGGTTGGGTTTTGAAGTCGTGCTGAGTTTGGCTGGAAGGTCTTGCCTGCGTGAACAAGAAAGCAGGGCGCTGCCTTCCTTCTGCACAAACGGGCTTCGTGGTGGCGCAAAGCTCAACAATGCGTGTTGTACCAGGACTGCAGACCCCATCCGAGAGTGAAAGGACATGCGGACGGCGAGATAGGGAAAGTCAACTGGTAGAACATCAAGAAACATGATTGAACGAGGGGGCCTTGAAGCTACCCTCAGCTCCAACCCATGAATGCGTCCAGTTGCCAGTAGCAACTCGGCGACCTTTGAGGCTGTCCCAAACAAACGAGGGCGGACATTTGGGTGTTTGTTCATAGGGGGCCGTGCCAAACTAGGTGGTTTCTCTTGGCTCCCTCTAGCCAAAGGTAACCATGTTGTTTTCTTCTTTTTTTCTTTGGATCCTTTTGTTCTCACCTTAACCCTTCTTATCCCCTTGTAACATCTTTTCCATCTAGCGCCAAAAAGGGGGGTACCCACAAGACCATCACATCGATGCTGTGCTTGCACACTTGGCCGGTAGGCGGAAAGTGCTTGACCGGAGGTACCGAGGCAGCTGATGAGGGGATTGCTGGGTGGTGGTGTCTTTCAGGCACATGGCCATGGGTCAAAACCCCGTACCCCCAGTGAACATCCCAATCCCCCACTAAAATAGACTACAATGGGGTGATGCACCTACCCCAAAATGGGATCCCACTTGTGTTGCCCCACAACCACATCACCTCGCACGCCGAGACGCTGACGCCTAGGCGAAGGGCCAACCACCGGAGGAGTGGCCGCCGCAGTCGTCCCAGCCCCAAGTCACCACAGTGCCGTCCCCCCGCAGCGCCGCGAAGGCGGAGCTGGAGGCTTGCACCTGACGCGGGCGGCTTGCGTCAGCAGCGGGGCATCGCTTCCCCCGCTGGGTCAGTGGGGTTGCTGTTCTGTTGTTTGTTTGTTTGCTTTTTGTTTCTGGAAAGATGAGCCAAACGTTGGGGATGTCCTGAATCTGAGCTTCTGGAGAAATGGGCCAAGCCACGTTGGGGATCCTAAATCTGTCTGGTCATGGACAATATTTATTTCGCACAAGTTGGGGATGAACTAAAAATAATAATGCGACGAACCACCTGTCAACTGTATTGCCTACTGGCTTCTTGGATGGGTTTTTATAGGGTCGAGAACAAGTTATTGAGTCGTTGTTGTGTGTGCGATGTACAAAGCTGACAATATATATGTATACATCTATTTATATATCATAAGAATTCATTACAACAGCCGCATGCGACTGCAAAAAAAAAAGTGTCCCTGTTTGGGGCTATCAAAGTGCTACTTCCGCATTTCCGGCTCCTTCACAAGATGCGCCGGCGCCTGGCGCACGTCCTGCAGCCGGTGCTGCACGCTGGAGCTGTCGCCCCCCCGGGCCTCGTCGCCCCAGGTCACCACGGAGCCGTCGCCTCGGCAGCCGGAGGGCCAAAAGCGATGCTTAAGATGGGTTCAAAGGAGAAATGTAGGGACATGTGTTGATGACACGCCCAGATTCAAGGGCCACCAGCCGCTTGCGTATAGGGGGGTCGTTCTTCCCGAGTTGAGATGCTTTGCTTCAATGGTCAAACGGTTTGATTCATCAATCCACTTCTCGTGGTGAAATGCCAGATCAGTCTCTGCTCGGCCCGAACCACAGGGGCAGATGAGATCTTGAAACGGAATGGGCGTGAACAAAACAAACACGACACCGGGAAGGTAATATCAACCTCAAAGGCAGTGGGTGGAATGGGCGCCTTGCTTTCCATCTCCAAGCCACCGAGTCCGTCAGCCGAACCCAAGCGTGAAATCCCCCACTCAACACATCGTAGACTGAACGGAATACTGAATGCCATTCATGAAAACTAGATGGTTATCAGACTTGGCCATAGTGGTTGGACTCAGGATCATCTATTCAGATGACTGTGCTTCGAAGATACCTCGGCTGTTGCTACCAACCAAAAGTGTCTTACGTGTCTATTCTGTCCAGAATCAGTGTGCTTAAAACCTCCACAAAGGGAAACATGTCTCAAAATTCGGCTGAAACCCCGACTAAGAATGGCATTTCTTTTGTAAAGAGGAGGATACCAACCGCAAAAAGAGACCACCCCAAAGGCCTTCGTCTCAAAATAGAACCCCCCCCAAAAAAAAAGAAGAAAGAAAACGAGCTTCCCCTTGGCTTCCCTTTACACTCAACCCGAGGGTACCAGGGTACCCCTACCCCGAACCCTGCCTCTGAGCGCCGCAAAGGCAGCCCCGGAGGCCTGGATGTGCTGAACCTCCTGAAGCCCCAAGCTGCCGCGAGGGCGAGTTTCGGCGGGGAAGGTGGGAATGACCCCTACAAACCATCCATCCGAGCTGAATCCTTTTTTTGGGGAATCACAAAAAAAAAGATGCATTCCATCATTTTTTTTGGAATCCCAAAACCAAAGATGCTTCCATTCCATTCCCTGCCGATTTCGCAGCATCCCCGAGTTCGCTTCCTTTAAGGGAATGTGGGAAGCCTAGGGAGTCGCGAAGAAAGGAAACCAACTCGGGGATGCTGCGAAATCCGCAGGGAATGGAATGAATCATTGGTTTTGGGATTCCCGAAGAAAGGAAAACTCGGATGGATGGTTTGTAGGGGCAAAACCAAGTGTAAGGGAACCATGGTGAGAAGGGAACCAGAGTTATAAGGGCTATATCTTATATCCACGGTTGTACCGTGCCAAGAAAATTCTCCTGCAACTGCTCCGCCACCATGCGGCTGTCGCCGCCGCGCACAGCATCTCCCCAGGTGACCACCTGTGGAAACGAAGGTCCGGTAATCCCGTTTTCCATTGGGAGTTCCATGGCAGACCGCTGGTTGCTATTTAAAAGGATAGCAAAGGAAACCAACCCCCTTAGGGTTGCCCTGTTTCGACAACCACCTGGGTTTGTGTTTGTTTGTTTTTTAGAAAATTGTGTGGGCTAACAGGAGACCCAAGGGACAACCGCCCAGTTTTGGAGTCCCCCTATTTTGAGCAATAGGTAATCAAGGGAACCCTTCTGGGAGAGCGGGAGGCATTTGATACCCTCCCTCCAAACTTTCACCGGATGAGGAATTGTCGCAGGGTCGAGCCCTTAAAAAGCTCAAGCTTGGAAAACTACATCTAGCGCAGCTAGCTTTCATGATTACCCCAAACCCCCCCCCAAAAAAAAAAAAACCTCCAAAGCTCCGGCATGCTTCCAATCCCGCACCTATTCTCGCGATCTAGTGGGTCCACAAGGTGGGCAAAGCTCAGACTGCAGATTCGCATGGAACCCAAAACGCTTCCAAAGAAGCAAGGACCCCAGTTCACTCGCCCTCATTTCTTTCAGAACCTCGTTTTGGGTACCCCAGTTCCACTCCCCCAGTTTCGCATGGAACCCAAAAAACACGCGGCTATTTCCAAAGAACGGCGCACCCTTCAGAGAGAACTCGGCTCCCCTTTGCTCGTTGCCCGCCCGAGGCGCGCGGCCGTCCTTTCGCAGCGCCGCGAAGGCGGAGCCGCAGGACTGGACGCAGAGCACGTCTCGCAGCTCCGCTTCCACCGCCTCCGAAGATCGGCTCGGCGCCACTCAGCGCCGCTGAGCGGAGGAGCGGAGCGCTCCGAAACGGGCAGAAGATGAAACGAAATGGGGGCAACTCACTTGGCAGTCAAGGCTTAGAGTCCCAGGTTGCTAACTGTAGAGTCAACAATAATTAGTTGACTCTAAGGAGCGAGATGACAAGGGTGGATCAGAAGGTCAAAAGGGGGTGCATCCCGAGAAAAAACATCCAACTGGTTTCCTTTAAGGGGAACCTGGATCAAAAGGTCAGCGAGACCTGGGGTGACAGGGACACCACCCAAAAAGCCCAGGGAAACCAATGCATATTAGGCAAACCACCCAAACTTTCACCACCGAGTCAGGAATATTGATCAACCAAATAGAAAGGAGAAGAGGCAAGATAGGCAACCCTACGATTGGAGGAAAAGCAGGCGCCGTAGCACGAGCAACAGCCCCACATTGCCCCCACTTGTTCGGTGGAATGCAGTCTTCAATCGGCCTTCTGGTGCCACACCATCCATCACAACATGTACTGTAGAAGATGGTCTCCATTTCACAATCTCCAAGTCTACAACTGTCTGCCACCCTTCCCATGACGTGCCCTGAGCTTCCATATTTTTCCCCCGGGCTGTGAACACAATCCCAGGCTCCAATCAGGTCCACTCCGGCGGGCCTGTGGTGAGAAGCTCGTGAGGCAGCCACCCGTCAGACCAGGCTCTCTGCAAGCAAAGGATTTGACTCAACTGTCGTGTGGAACGGAAAAGGACCAAATCAGAACGAGAGGCTAGCGCTCCTGTGCATGAGCTTTCAAAATTCTAGCGGTCACTGCAGGGCCGCACTCAGCTTCGCTCCGTGGCCTCCATCTTCACATCATTTTCCACCGTGCCACTTGCTCTCTGGCCGTCCATGGAGCGTCTCTCGCAGGCCGCGCCGTGGGCCTTGCCCGCGGCACAGGAATGGCAGCAATGCGTCTTGTGCCAGGTAGCTTGGAACTCGCATCCCGAGGTTGCGCAGGGTCGAGGCACGCGCTTGCTGCGGCGCTCACAGTGAGGGCCATGCCCTTGGCCGGCGGAGCAGGAGTGACAGCAGTGGGTGGGGTGCCAGGTTGACAGGTAGGAACAGCCCGGGTTGGCACAGATCGTGCCCTCGGCCTTGTTGGCGCTCTGGCCGCGCCAATCAGGGCTCTTGGATTCATGGTCCTGCCAGTTGCGCTGCCAGCCACGCCAACCCTTACCTTGGCAGCCCTTGCCCTGCCAGCCCTGCCAGCCCTGCCAGCCCTGCCAGCCCTTGTCTTGGCAGACCTTGCCCATGCCCTTCAGCAGCCGAAACAAGGGAAGGCCAACAAGGTGCTTGAAGGCACGTCGCGAGTCCAAAAGAGAACACTTGAACTCATGGCCGGCGCAGGGCCCGCTGTGCACTTCGCCCTTCTTGGCATAGCATATGCCGCAAAGGTCGTAGTCTGCACAGCTCTTGCACTTGAACCGCGGACCAACCACTGGCGAGTGGCAGCCATCACACATCACGCCCATGTGCTCCAGCGGGATGTCCAAGCCATCCAGGCAGGATGCCAGGCGCTCTTGTTGGGTCTCGGCAAGGGCCGACACGAAGGAGTGTTGCGCTTCGAAGTGCAGCAGGTCAACACCGGCAAGCAAGTCCAGCAGGAACCTCCCTGCCGAGGTAGGCGCCATCTCTGACAAACAGGCATCCAGGGATGCTTCCACATGCTGCAAGCCATGCGGCGCCAGCAAGGGCCGAATCTGCTCCAAGATCTCCTTGAGCGGCTCAATGGAAGTCAGGGCTCGCCCCAGCTCCTCCGGCTCCCGCTCTGCCACAAACTGCAGCGCGCCAGGCAGCCAGCACACCGCCATGCTCGCCAGCGCCTGCGGCGTCAGCACCTCCGAGATCTTGGGACGTGCACAAGGCTGGCCAGTCTCACCGTCCTCCCTACGTGAACGCTTGCTGCGGTGCTCACAGTGAGGGCCATGCCCTTGGCCGGCAGAGCAGGAGTGACAGCAGTGGGTGGGGTGCCAGGTTGCCAGGTAGGAACAGCCTGAGTTGGCACATGTCGTGCCCTCAGCCTTGTTGGTGCTCTGGCCGCGCCAATCAGGGTAGTCGGATTCATGCCAGTTGCGCCAGTCCTGCCAGTTGCGCTGCCAGCCACGCCAACCCTTGCCTTGGCAACCCTGCCAGCCCTGCCAGCCCTGCCAGCCCTGCCAGCCCTTGTCTTGGCAGACCTTGCCCATGCCCTTCAGCAGCCGAAACAAGGGAAGGCCAACAAGGTGCTTGAAGGCACGTCGCGAGTCCAAAAGAGAACACTTGAACTCATGGCCGGCGCAGGGCCCGCTGTGCACTTCGCCCTTCTTGGCATAGCATATGCCGCAAAGGTCGTAGTCCGCACAGCTCTTGCACTTGAACCGCGGACCAACCACTGGCGAGTGGCAGCCATCACACATCACGCCCATGTGCTCCAGCGGGATGTCCAAGCCATCCAGGCAGGATGCCAGGCGCTCTTGTTGGGTCTCGGCAAGGGCCGACACGAAGGAGTGTTGCGCTTCGAAGTGCAGCAGGTCAACAAAGGCAAGCAAGTCCAGCAGGAACCTCCCTGCCGAGGCAGGCGCCATCTCTGACAGGCAGGCATCCAGGGATGCTTCTACATGCTGCAAGCCATGCGGCGCCAGCAAGGGCCGAATCTGCTCCAAGATCTCCTTGAGCGGCTCAATGGAAGTCAGGGCTCGCCCCAGCTCCTCCGGCTCCCGCTCTGCCACAAACTGCAGCGCGCCAGGCAGCCAGCACACCGCCATGCTCGCCAGCGCCTGCGGCGTCAGCACCTCCAAGATCTTGGGACGTGCACAAGGCTGGCCAGTCTCACCGTCCTCGCCACATCCGCACCGGTCCTGGCCGCGCTTGCCCTTGCCCTTGCCCTGCTGCTTGTGGTGCAGCCCTTGCAGGAGGGGATGCAGGAAGGGCGGCACGAACATGCTCCAGGATTCTGCTGCTTCACTCTCAGGCTGCGGCGGTTGCATCTCTCTGTTTTCCGTGTCTGCGGGCAACAGCTCAAGGCGCAGAGTCAACCGCCCAGCACCAACAGAGAGGTCTACAGCCTGCTTCGCCTGAGCAAGGAAGTCCCCAAAGGAGCTTTCGCAGAGCACGCAAGCATCTCCTTCTTCATCCAGGTACCTCGCCGCGTAGGCCCCCAGATCTGGAAAGAGGCGCTCCAGACAGGTGCAAACCCCGGGATAGCTTAGGTCATCCAGCAGGCACCGGCGGATTTCGGAACCCAAAGTGGCCTTCAGCACAGTCATGCCGCGAATAGAAACGAGTCTAACTTTGAATTTCTGTGAATCAGGACAACGCCTTGTCACATGAGCTTGAGCCAAGGTAGAGACCAGTCTGACATTGTGCAAGTTCATTCAACCCTCTGTGAACATGTTCTGCTACTCTCTTGGAGTACATTCACTTGGAGCCAAGGTAGTTACCGATCTGCCATGCCCCACTTCCCTTTCCCGGGCATCCCCCCCTACCTTAAGGGGGGTGGGGGGTCCCACAATTCCATTCCTTCAGTCCAACCTCAAAAGGGAAAATGGAACCCATGAAGATCTCCAAAAATCACCCCCCTCCCCCAATTCCATTTTGAAGGGGGTGGGGATCCCCAGGCAATTCCTCGCAGTCCGAGGCCTGGCAGTCGCCCCCGCGCTGCGCATCGCCCCAGGCGACACAGCGCCCCGACTGCGTCACGGCGGCGAAGGCGCTGGCCGTGGATTGGATCGCCACGACCTCTTGCAGCTTGGCCTGGCGACTTGCTTTGTCTCCGTTTTTTTTGGTGGTTTGTTTGTTATGTATTATCATTATTATTATTATTATTATTATTATTATTATTATTATTATTATTATTATTATTATTATTATTATTATTATTATTATTATTATTATTATTATTATTATTATTATTATTATTATTATTATTATTCTTATTATTATTGTTATTATTATTATCATTATTATTATGACTATGATTATTATTACTATGTATACCATTGGTTTTGACCCACAGCCACATAGTTATACGTAATGCGCCAATCACCGAACACAGATACTAGCGGTTCGAAATGGAAAATCTTGCTGTTCGAATAATGCCAGTGCCACGTTCGTGGCCCAAAATGGGTCGTCTTCCTTTGGCGTCCCTGAAGGTACCAACCCCGAAAAAGGTACCAAAAAGAAAAGACACCCACAAATCAGCGTCCTTGGAGCACGGTGGTGTTGGGGTTCAAATATTCAAACCACCAACTCAAACCACCACTTAGGGGATTCGTGAGAAAGACATCCGCTTTGCAAGGGGAATCCTCGCAAGGCGATAAAAGTGACTGTTTAACCGAAGTCACGCAGAGATGTTTGTGGGGCTGGCCCAAATTGCATCCTGTACGGGACCCCGATCCCGTCAGGCAGTCGCAAAATTCGGGCCCCCAGCAGATTCAATTGAACACATAAAAAAAAGGATGCCTCAAATTGTAGGAGGAGTAGCCCTGGAAGATGAGCGGACGCCACAAACGAAAGCCTTCTAAAGGTGCGGTATACTTGCAAGGGGGCATGCCCTTGTCAAAAGGGGGCTCTCCAATACCACAGCCCCAGGAGGGAGGAGTATCATTCGTCACAAAGCGTTTGCGTTGACAAGGCTTGCCGGTAACATGCTTCGCAGCGACTTGGAGCTGACCAGCCAGGCTGCCAAACTGCACCCGATATGACCCATCGACTTGTCCACGGCTGTCGGCATCCAATAAAAAGACCATCATGGCTGGCTCCAAAAGAATCAGCATCCATACGCATCAGATGTGTTTTTCTGGGCCTTGACCAAACCAAGCGCTTGACATCGGCGCCTGCACCCTGCAGTCGCCCCCACGGCAGCTGTCGCCCCAGGTGACCACAGAGCCATCAGCCCTGAGCGCCGCAAAGGCGGAGGCGCTGGACTGGATGCAGCTCACCTGGCCATGGGTCAAAATCAAAAGCCCGGTTAGCCCCCAGTGAACATCCCAATACCCAAAATCGACTAAAATGGGGGGTGCACCTACCCCAAATGGTACCATTGGTTTTGAAGCATGGCCACCTAACGGGCGAGTTCGGGGCGGCGCTGTCTTGGGAGCTGGCACCCCTGCTTTGGTCAAAGCTGTAGAGTTGTGGCACCACGTTTTTTTGGTGGGGTTCTAAAAGGTAGCCAAAAGGAGTTCAGTTTTAGAGCTGGTTGTTACTTTTGTTGGTGGGGTTTTAAAAGGTAGCCAAAAGGAGAAGAGTTTTGGCGCTGATTGTTATTTTGTTGTTGTTGGGTTTCAAAAGGTGGCCAAAAAGGTCAAACCCCGGCATTTGTAGAGAAAGACACACCCAGGGTCTGCGTGAGGTGGGTGTGGCCCAGAGTGTGGCAACTATGCCGGACTCTCCGAGGGTCTGATCTTTTAGGAGCGGCTTCCCAAATGGTTGACGCTGAAGCTTTGAATCGCGGCGCAAGCGTGACACGTCAGACACCAGCCAAGCATCAAAAGAAGGGCGTCATCCTTTCGATTCATGCTTTGCCAGCTGGGATTATAACATGGTGGTCCGCCGAGCTCCTTTGCGCTGGCATGTTGACAACTTGACAGGTGCGACTTACAGTCAGAGCAGCCCGAGCAGCGGGCTTTGTCCTGAGTACAGCTGCCCTAGCAAAAGTGGATGAACACTGAATTGTTGCATCTGAATGGCTGTGAGTCAAAGCCAGGACCCCCAAAAAGGCATAGTTTCACCCAACTCGGCTCGACCAATTCCCAAAAGGAAGTCGGTCGCCTGCTGCAGCTCTCCCTGCACCAGATGGCTGTCGCCGCCGCCCGCGGAATCCCCCCAAGTGATCACCTCGGCGGAAAGAAGCAGAGAAGGGTTGCCATGGTTCAACATGAGTTTCATTTTTGGTGAGGCTTAAAGAACAGAAGGGACGCTACTGTAAGTCTGGGCTGTTCAAATGCTGACGGGGATTTTAGACTGTGGGGCAGGATTGGCCACTTCCTTCTGAACAGACCAGCCAGAGGGCCCCTGACGTTAGATTTGGAAAGTGTCTGTTGCGGTCTGTCGGGGCTGAGCCGGAAAGGATGGGACAGTGAAGAAACTAACTCTCCAGGTACAGGCTGCATCAAACAGTGCCAAGAGAAAGAAAGAATATATATATATATATTCCAGCTAATCTTCCGTCCAGGGCTGCCTCCAGGCACACCACTCCGATGCATATTTATTCCCAGCACTCATCCCAGAACTCCCATGCACGGCCGTTCAGATCCGGAGCTGCGACTCCCTGGGCTGAGAAACCAAACTGTGGATGGACGAACTTTGAAACAATGAAAAACCAGAGCGTTTGTCGGCATTTACAGGGGAATCATTAAAAATCCCAGGGTGCTTTAGGTGGTGCCAACAGAATCATCAGAAACCAGGGTGTTTTAGGTGCGAAACGGAGAACAGAATCATGAGCCGATTCCTGCCCGCGGCGCCGAGCCGTCGCTTCTCAGCGCGGCGAAAGCGGCACTCGCGGCCTGGATCTGACGCACGTCCTGCGCGGGGAAATGCCGGTCATGAGTAGAGTTCGGCAACCAGTCATAGAATGTATATTTTATTGCTTGCTTCACATGGAGTCACTGGTAGGATGAAAAAATCCTAAGTCTACCTCAGCTGTACTGCTTGTTTCCGGGTTCGGAAAAGCCTTGTGCACACGTCGCTGGCGCCGTGAGCCCTGCTGCGACCGCTGCTACTGCTATGACTGTCGAAGCCTGACGTGGATTCTCCGTCTACCATTTCAGCGACGCAGGCTACCACGCGGCTAGCGTGACATCCACCCAAGAATGGAAAACAGTGCCCCTGGAATCCGTCACCAAGCAGATTTACATGGCTCCGACGCAGAGCGGCTGAAAAACAAAACCATCATGTCTCTCTTCACGGCATGCATGCTCACGAAAATGTTAGTGCCGAGCCACTGGCATCCCAGCGCTCTCACGGCGAAATGCAGGATTCGCTGATATTTATCAGGACTCCGCCTCATAGAAATGAATTGCGATACCATAACCAAACCTCGTTGGACTAAACTCTCGTACAAGGACGTCTTTTCTTCGCCAGCTTTTCGCATGTGGCTGGTTCAAAAAGCCCTGAACCTCTCGGCTCCTGCAGCTGGTGCCGCACCTTGCTGCAGTCTCCGCCCTTGCTGCAGTCGCCCCAGCACACCACACTGCCGTCGCGCCGCAGGGCTGCAAAGGCCTTCCTAGCTCGCGCAAAGAGTCGCGGGGTGCGGCGATTCGGCGATTCGGGCATCAGCACCTATTCTAGAAATAACCATATCATATGGCCAAAGGTACCTTCACCCACATGCGTCTAACAAGCAAAAATGGGGGGGCAAAAGCAAGACTTCAGCTGCACAGATACAGCTGGCCCAAGCTGTCCCACAGCATTTGACCACTTGATCCTTATCGCACTGGAGGTGTTTACCATCCATCCGGCACCAGAACAAACACCTTACACCTTTCGGGGCAACAATCATCCAAACGCGTGGCATTGCTGAAGGAATCTTTGGCAATCCAACTGAGAGCGCCGGGTCAGGAGCTCAAATGATTTCCTTTGCGAGCCGATCCCTATCGGACAGGACATGACAAATGAAGTCCATGGGTGAACCAAACATGCAGGCTTCTCGGTTGAGGTCACCAACCCCTTCAGCGGGCTTTGAGATCGCCAAGAATCAGGCAGCGACAAATCCGGCAAAATCCCTCACTCCCAAAAAACGCGTCTCCGAGTCACCCCCCAGTCCTCTCCGCTTGCAGCTGAGACTCTCGGCCGCCTGAATGCACTGGACTTCCTCGAGCACCTCACAGCTACCGCCGCACTGCCTGAACCGGCAGCCGTCGGTCGGTCGTGCGCTCAACCCCACCGCCACACTGCCAGACTCGTGAGAATATAAGTCTGCTGCTGGTCACAGTGATAGGCACGATGAAGCATGCTTTGTGCACTCAGCTGGCCGTCCTCTCCCCAAAAAGCTGACAGCTATATGACAGGAGCTCTAACTTCAAGTAGAGAGGGTGCCTTCATGCGGCTTTGCTTTTCGGGGGACTCAAAATGGGAAGGTGTTCCGCTTTTCTTTTGGCGGCTTGAAGGCCTAGTCTCCCGCCAACGAACTGCAAAAGGGCACCCCAACAAATCAAATCATTGGGGTGCGGTTTCCTTCCAGGCGCGAAATTTTACCCAATAATATATATATATATATATATCCGTTTCTACCTCCAAAAGAATACTCTTTGCGCTGGCTTTGCATAACTTGTTTCATAGATCTCGACGGATCGGTCCAGCTGCGGGTCGCCCCACGCCAGCACCTGGCCATCTGCCCGCAGCGCTGCGAAGGCGTGGGACGTGGATTGTAGCGCCTCCTGCGAAAGATCAGATCGCGCTCCACAAAGCAGGGAGACATGCGACCCTGTCTGGGCCCCTTCAGGCTCCGGCGTCAGCAACCAGGCGGTCATGTTCTGCGCAAAGGGCCCGAGGCTTGCGGACCGGAATCCCCCATCACTGGCCAAATCAGGGCTGCACGATCCACAAAATCAGAACAAGTTTTGGCTGGCATCCTCAGTCTGTGGCGCTTCGGCTGGCGCTCGTTTAGTTCACCGGTGCAACGGACAAAAAAATCAACCTCCGCCCTTGGGTCCGCTTCGGTGACTAGCTGAGCTCCCAGCCACGTCCGTGAGCTGTTTCTCCACCCGGGAAGCGTCTCCACCGCAGCACGCCTCGCGGAGTCTGCTTGTCTCGGGAAGGAACAAAAGTTGCGCTTCCTCTTGGTTCCCATTCAAAAAACCGGAGCCAACAGACCCTTTTGGAACTGGCAGGCTCCCAGCTGGAGCCGAGTCAGCTCGCCAGCCCCTCCGGGCTGGGAACGAATCCTTCACTCATCTGGCCGTGAGCCCAACGGCTCCCGAGCAAAAGGCTGCACCAAAGATTTCAGACTCAAATCAGCCTCGTCAAGTAAGTGGTCATATCTGAACTCTTTTACTCTGCGATTCGTTCACTGACTCAGCTCTTATCACAAAGCAAAGCACAGACACACATATCAGTTGATGATAGTCTCTGCTACTTGGGCCTCAGCAAGTTTGGAGAGGACACCGTCTTATTTCAGTTGGATGATGGGCTGTGATGGCCAATGTCCTGTGCCCCTTGCATGTGAAAGCATCAAATCAGTCCGAACCAAGATTCAAAGCAAATGACAACAGTGGACCGGGAGCAACAACAGAGTGTCTTGCCATCGAGTGGCATGAACCCCACAGCACAATCAAAAGGCTCGCCTGACAAAAGCTGCAAAAAAAAGATAAACAGTTGGAAACTAAGGTACGCATCGGGACCAAGATCGGTACCAAGGAGGGGGGGGGGTTCGGGGGGGGACCCTATTGACCCTTACAGCAATGTAGGAATCCCTTGTAAAATACTTTGTACATCACAGCTTGATATCTTTGCTTGTGCATTCCGCAGTGGCCTAGCCCACATTCTCACAGAGAATAGCTGCGCAGCCATGAAAGAGACATCAGAATCAGTCTCCCGCACCTTGTCATTCTGACTGCTTGGGAATGTATCAGTATCCTTTGAGCCCTGTTTGCGCTCCAGGGGCGGGGAGATGGTACCGTTCTTGTTCATTGACAACACGTCTTATCAGTTCTGTGCAATCATGGTGACTCTACTGAACGGCGTTGTTTGCTGACTGATTACAAAGCTCGTCTTCTTGCTGCTTCCAAAGACAAAATCACAACTGCTTTGCTCAAATCACAATGGAATTGACCACATCCACCGATCTTGGTCCCGACGCATGGCGAAACTAACCCTTCTCACGTCGTCCCGAACATGAGTCCTCCAGGAGGCGCATCATCAACAACTCATTGCATCCTTTTGCGGGCATCCTTTTTGGGTGGTACTGAAGATATATACAACTCAAATGGAAACACCCGATTTCACTGGTGCTGCTTTCCCTTTTTCCTCTTATTTTGGGGGGAGGCGTGGGCCCTTCTTGGCCCTCCGTGGAGCAGCTTGGTGCTTGCCAGGCGATACAGTCATGGCTGTCTTGGGAGATCCTAGGCACAGTCTGCAAAGAGATCGTCACACCTTGCTCGAATACGACAAATATTGGGGTCAAGCCCCAAGAGTCAAGCCCGCGAAAAAAACTTCCTTAACTTCTCTTGTCAGGGTGTTGCACATAACTACTTTGAAACGACCAACACCTTTGCAACCATTCCAGTTTGAGAACGCCTCCCAACTTGTAAAGAAAAGCCACCATAACTATAGCTAACGTGCATTGTCAATTTGAGAATTGAAGAATGCTCGCGGAAGCGGGTACTAAGATGGTCGGGAGCATGCACTCGAGCAGCATTGCCGCAACCTCCAAACCTCCGGATCTCCAGCCGTTGAGCAGACCGAAACAAAGGGATCCTGCACAGGGAACCTTCAAGATCAGCTCAGGTTGATGCACCAGAAATTCAGAGTGGTTAGGGCCATGGCGAATCCGGACAGAGTCGCGAAAAACGCCTGGCATCATGCCTCATGTCTTGAAAAGCAAAAGGAGAAACTCTGGGAGACAACAGGTCCATCCAATTTCGGGTCCATCAAAAACTTCTTGAAAATGGTGGGAGACAAAAACAATGCCTCTGAGCTGGCCATTTTTCGTTTTTCACCAACTTCGGCTCCAAGGCCCCAGCGCCTCGCCCCAGCAGATCACGTCCCCGCAGGACCGCAGCGCCGC